TGGCCCTGCCGGCTTGGGCAGGCTCTGAGCTCTCAAGCCGCTGGGAAGCAGCGCTGAGCCCTCTTGCGGTTCCTGGGATTGCAGGAGACCGCCTGTTTCCATGGATCTTCCTTCACATGTTCTCTTTTTTTTTTTTTGTGCGCACATCAAACCTAGGCTTTTAATTCTCGAGAACAAAGTAGATGCCCGAATTCTTTGCTCTTCACTAGAATATAAATAAATTTCAGTTCTTCTTAGTCTTAAGATTCAAACTGACCCGGGAGCTTTTGCTTCTTGGAAAATCGCTGTCACAGCTGGGTTATCACGCTAAACAGAGGCTTAATCTCTGTGTGCAACTGCCATCAAGCATTCAGGCTTAACAGCTCTTTGCTTTATAGCATAAGCAGACAAAGCCCAGCTGTAGTGCAGGCCTGCCAAGGCATACCGTCAAAATACATCTTTTATTTGCAGGTACAACATGCAAGTAAACAAATTGCCGCTGATAAGCAGTACAAGGGTATCATCGACTGTGTAGTGCGTATCCCAAAGGAGCAAGGAGTGCTGTCTTTCTGGCGAGGGAACTTGGCAAATGTCATCAGATACTTCCCAACTCAAGCTCTCAACTTTGCCTTCAAGGATAAGTATAAGCAGGTGTTCCTGGGAGGTGTAGACAAGCACACTCAATTCTGGAGGTATTTTGCTGGTAACCTGGCTTCTGGTGGTGCAGCTGGAGCCACTTCTCTCTGCTTTGTCTACCCCTTGGATTTTGCAAGAACCCGTTTGGCTGCTGATGTTGGAAAAGCTGGTGCAGACAGAGAATTCACTGGTCTAGGGGACTGTCTAGTCAAAATTACCAAGTCTGATGGTCTGCGTGGCTTGTATCAAGGGTTCAATGTCTCTGTCCAAGGCATCATCATCTATAGAGCTGCCTACTTTGGGATCTACGATACAGCAAAAGGTAAAGTTTTGGAGAGGATCTGATAAACCTGTTTTCAGAATTGGATTGTCTCTCAGTGTCTGTTCTTGGATGTTACTCCCTGCCTGTGTGTAGGAACAATAGTCCATGCAAGTGTGGAGGTGGAAGGGGGGGTATTGGTGCCAACATCAGTGATGCTGCACTGTTGGAGACAGAACTCGGGCGTGTATTGATGGCAGCAGGCGACTTTCAAATACTCCGGGTTTTGTACTTATCCTTAAAGGAGTTTTTCCTAATGCAGGCAAAGCGTGTTGGTAACAATGTGCAATTACAAGTTTTTTTGTTCAGTGCATTCCTGTAGTTACATTAAACCAGTTCAAGTGTGTTTAGCAGAATGGGATTGAGTGATGCTTTTACAAAGCATGTGCTTGTTAAGCTTGACATTTGGACATCGAGGTCATTGATACTAGCTTACAGTTTAATGTAATTCATAGGGATAATGACTTACTTTAGTGACACTTGCTTCTAAAAAGAGTAGGGAATAGTTAGATCTCTTCTTACACCAGTCTGAAAAGAATCCTAATGCCTAAATGTTACCTGTTCTGATTACTGAAGAGAAAATCCTGTGAATTACCTTGATTATTTTTTTTAATATTGCTTCAACCTGTTTAACTTTGATCAAGTGTCTTGGTGCAACTTCCACGTATGGTTTTAGTGTTTCATAATACTCTGTCAAGTAAAGTATCTGTCAAGTAGCAAATGAACTGAAGGAGTACGTACAAGATAAAAAGCTATTTACTTTTTTTATTGCAGGCATGCTCCCAGATCCCAGAAATACTCACATTGTTATCAGTTGGATGATTGCCCAGACGGTGACTGCTGTGGCTGGTGTGGTCTCCTATCCTTTTGATACAGTGCGGCGTAGAATGATGATGCAGTCAGGACGCAAAGGAGGTAGGCTGTTAATTTGTGCAGTTCTTTAAGCAGCATTAACAAGATGAAGTGAATTTTTTTCTAATGGTCATCTCAGCGCTTACAGTTCTTTGTTCCATAAATCTGATGATTTAAGTTATATTACATTTAAACAGTACGAGGAAATGCAGTAGAGTCATAACTTGGGGTGTTTGTCGGGAATTACGCTGAGGACTTTTCTTTATAGAAGTGAAATGGGCAAATGGACTGGCTGTTTGTGGTGACAGGTTAAGTGAAAGCAGTGAGGAGGCAGTATAATTGCCAGAAAGAATGCTTAATGTTTTTGTTTTGTTTTGTGACTTGGCTTTTAATAACTAGGCAAGCAGATTGTAAGTTTTTCTATTGGCTGGACTAGTATTGTGTTACCGTCTTAAAATGTGGTTTGGGACATCACAAAGTGAAGTGAAACAGGGCGGTTGTTAAAAGAGATACAGTTATAGGAGTTAAAAATGACTCTCTGCTCTTTTTCCACAGCTGATATCATGTACTCTGGAACAATTGACTGCTGGCGGAAGATTGCAAGGGATGAGGGAGGAAAGGCGTTCTTCAAGGGTGCATGGTCTAATGTTCTCAGAGGCATGGGGGGTGCTTTTGTGCTCGTGCTGTACGACGAATTCAAGAAAATCATTTAAGCAGCCTAACTAGAATGGGAAATCAAGTTGAGCAGATCATGTAGAATAACTACCATTATGGACCATTGACCTTCAAGAAATTCCTGTGAGTCTTATTTATCGGAGCCAGATGATATTCGTAGATGGGGCTAGAAACTGGCATAGAGGACTGATCCATTTCTTGGTAACATGCATAAAGGCACTGAATCTGGCAGTTCAGTGTGGTGATTTTTCTTTTTTCCAGCAATGAGGAATGAGTGGCGTTGGTTATGGGTCCAAAGTGGCTGGGTCCAATTTAGGCATAAAAAATTGTTTGCCTGTGGATCAGTCCCCAGTTTCAAGTCCTATCTTCTAGGACCATAAAATTGTATTTGAAAGTACTTGCTAACAAATCATGTTCTTTTCCACTTGTACTGAAGCACTATGTACCATTTTGCACAGCTGAACATCTAGCAATTTTGTTCTTAAATTGGGGCATTCTGCTGTAAAACAATAAACATACTTACTCTGTGTTGAAATTATTACATAAAAGCTTTGGGAAAGCCTCTTTTGTTTGAAAACTTGTTTCAGATAACGGTTCCTCTAATACACTTACACTGCACTCTGTAACAGAATAAGCTTGATTATTTTTTTTTTTAAGAAATAATTGAATGTGAGAACTTCATGGGGGTGGGAAGCATGGGTTATACTAATAGAAACCACTCCCATTCTTTGTGCCTGATAGCGTATGATGGGCTGCTGCAAGTGGCTTTTTGCATGACTCTTAGAAATTGATTTGCAAGTTTTCATGTGATTTTAAAATGGGGGGCAGGGGGTGTCCTGTTGTAAGTGCTAGGAGATCCCAAAGTCCCAGGGACAGTCAAAAAGTAATACTGTTGCCCTTGATGAAATGGCTTCAAATGAAATACCTTTTTAAAAACCAATACAGAAAGCAACATGGCACTCATGCAAAAACCCAGGAACCTAGTAAATGCCTTCAACTTCTGAGTAACCTATGTATTGTATTGTTGCTGCTATTTGGAAATGCTGGTTGTGCCATTCAAGATACTGTTTGGCCTGATGTGTAGCAGTGGTCAGTACCTCTGTGGAAGGTGAAGTTAATCTGAAATGAGGTTCATTCAAAGAGGTGAAGTTGATGGGGTGTGTGGGAGGGAATACATGTGCTTCTGTGTAGCTATAAAATACAGATCAAGGTAGGTCAGCCTTCAATAATAACCGGTTGCTGTCTAGTTCTGGGGACTGTCAGAAGACCAAAATGAGATTGAATGATTGCTCATACTGCTATTTGAGATAATGTAATACCTGTGTGTTGTTCTTTGTGTGTATATAATCTTACTTTTGTACTTTGTAATCTGCAAAGACATGGTAGGGGGACCAGTAAAGGAAAATGAGGCATTCATCTTCCAGTCACGTTTTTAAGAAGTCTCGCTGTATCTTGAGAAGGAAATGGTGTGTCACTGTATGAGTCATTGAAGGCTGACTGAGCTGTCTTGAGTTCTGTGTGCCTTCTGAGGTTGCTGTTCAAGATGAGGTATTTAAATTAACTACTTGGCTTTGGCTGATTATTACCTTCCACTCAAACATAATTTACCTTTTTCCTTTCACTGCTGCGGAAGCACTGCTTTCAGCATCAGTATGTGAATGTAAGTATGTTATATGGCTGCTTTGTACACAGACTAACAGCAAACTTCATGTCCCTGCTGCAAGTGGGTTTATCCTGTTCAGTAATGGTAGGGCTCTCATGGTGCGGGTGGGTCATTTGACATTGACCTTGCTAATCAACCTGCTGTTGCAGTTGTAATGTTGATTTTGGGGGGCAGGGGAAGAGTTTTTGTCTACATAAATACATTGCGTAGGCTTATTTTCTGTATCAGTGGCCTGAAAGGTAGAGATAATGGTAGAATACCTCCCATAGCCTCGCTGGGAGCGTATGGTGGCCCTAGCTTTGTGATGAAGAACCAAACATGACAATTACTTGAGCAGCCCCAGAACGGGGGGAGGGTAGATGTTTCACCCCTGCTTCCCCTTTCCCCCAGAACTAGGTTTTAACCAGAAGAAATAGGAAAACAAATCAATGCAAGTGTGGGTGTTGTTTTTTTTAAGTGGCACTGCGATTTACCTGTGCTGTGGTCAGCATGTACTACTTGGTGTTCATTTTTTTTTAGTATATGGCTTCCCTTAGTTGTGCAGCAGCAATTTTCAATGTGTGATTATGCAGTGTGGGAACATAAGAGGCAAACAATAAATGAGACTTTTAAAAAAAGCATTTGTTTTCTGCCTTACTGAAACATTTGGGGAAATGTATTTATATTGAAAAATATTTTTAGCAGGAAGATACCTGGAGTTTGTAAAAGAAAATATGGGCATTTAAAGCCTGTATTATTTTTAAAAAGCATTTGAAGTAGAGCTTGCACACCTTAAAGGGAATAAATGCATTGGTAAGGAAATATTTACATTTAAAATCCAGTTACTAAATCTGAATACAGATTTTACTCAGATTCTCAAACTTGCTGGATTTTTTGAAGACATAAATACCATGCATTAAGTCCTTACTTATATTGCAGAGGTTCACGTTTGCAGTGGAGGTACTGAGCTAATCAAATGGCTGGCTGGCAGCCCAGCATTAACAGTCGCTTCTGGCAAGTGTCACTTTATTTCCCATTTTCTGTTTTGCTCACTTTATTATTATTTGGTATTGCTGATTGCAAGGTTGATGGGCAATTTCAAACACATTTTGAATAGCTGGTTTCCCCTGCAGAAGGTACTCTGGATATATAAAAATTGCAAGCTGGGAAAACTGAACCACAGTGGCATTCTTGAGCAGTCCTGTCATGCTGTAGGCAATGGTTACATTCAGAGGCAAGAAGCATGGTAGCAGTGAAGATGGGAAATAATAAGTTTCTTCTGCGTTGTGGATGAGAGGCCTTGCTTCGCATTGTGAAGAAAATCCCGGCAAGGTTTGAGCAAGCCTTTGCAAGTAGATGTTTGCAGAAGAACAGCTGCCAGGCACTGTGCTTTTGAAAAAAGGGAAAAGAATAAATTTTACTGGATTTTTTTTTTTTTCTCCACTTGTTTTCCCCTGCTCCATTGTAGGTGCATTTTTATGGGACAAAGTTTTATAGGTGATGATACTCATTTGTAGTCTGTGCTTTGAAGTACTCCTTAGTTGTCAGGAGGATCCACAATTTTCTTTCATGCTGGGGAATCCAAGTGTGTTTTGGTTTTTGGAAGTTAGGTCATCTCTTCAACAATAGCTACTTCCTCGATACAGCTTTTTTTTGGTAGACTTACATATTTTGTCTAAAGAGAGAGAAAATTCTGTAATACACAATATGCTAGAGTTGCTGGTGATCATCAGAGAACACTTTTAAACATTAGATACACCAGTAGCAAAGGCACCTAGTCTTGCTATACATAAGACATGCTTGCAAAGACCCTTAGGATTGTTTGGCTTTTAACATGTGTGATCAGTGCTGTTTGTCAGCTGGAGGAAAAGGAATGAAAGAAGTTGTTAAGTGCTGGACAACCTTAATTGACACAACAGAAGAAACAGTATTGCCTGCATTTTCCATATGTAGGAGTTAACTGTACCTACAGAGAAAACATTTTGATTGCTATCATAGGGTTTTACACTGGTAAACCTGGAGATCTGTGTGAGTGGGTGTTGCTGGGTAAGATCATAGTATCAATACAGGGCTTGGGGCTTAAAATATTGAGGGGAGATAAATTTGAATTTTTAAAAAATAGAAGGAATAGTACTGGAAAAAGGGGGGGTCGGGAAAGTAAGCTTGGTGTCATATTGAGAGCATCAAAGCAGGATGTTGTGGTGAGGAATTTTGTCTAGGAAATCTGTGGGCTTGGTAAGCGCTGCAGGGCTCGATGGTCGTGGTGTTTTATGCTACTCAGCCATTCACTGAGGAAAGCAATGCATCTGCACATGGAGTGTCTCGCAAGTTCTTGGAATGTATTTAATTTGGGAAAAGAGGAAAGCAAAGTACTGAAAGCGTATTTCTGAGTGAGGGTGTGGAAAGTATTTGGGGTGAGAAAGACCAAAAAGTGAGGGAAGATGAGTAAAACAAAATGGGTTAGAGGAATGCAAGGTATGTGATGAACCTGATGAATTGGTTGGTAGGATCTCACCCACAGCAAAAAGGAAAACTGGCAGTTGTTTAACCCAAGCGTTAAGGATATGAGTGCAAACTCAGTGCAGAAAGGTTAGGGTTGTAAATCATGAGGTTTTTCAGTGGCTTAAGGACAAGTTGTGTTGTGAAACAAGACAAAAAATGAGAACACATGAAAGGTTGTCGAGTAAATAGGGACAAAATGAGGGAATGCAAGCTTTATAAAACATGTGATTACAAGATGTTAGAGGTTCAAAATAGCTCATAAATATATTAGCACTAAATGCCAGGAAGAGACAGTCCTGGTATTCAATGGAGGAGAGCTCTCCTGAGAACCTATTTGTGCTTCATTACCTGCTTTGAAGAATTACAGCATTCCATCAGTGTTAGATACCCAAGTGTGGAAAGAAGAGGTGAAATAAAACTAGGCTTTAAGACTAGATAGAAATAGGCAAAGAAGAACCTAGAAACTGTTTATTAGACATGACAGAGACTTAAGAATTATCTCTGCAGTGCCTGCTGGCAGGCATGAGGAACCTGAGCTGAGGGCTTCACTTGAACTCTGACAGTTACTGCTGGTAAGTTGCTGCCTGCATGGATGTGCCCATGCCACCGCTCACAAAGCCACATCCACAGAAGCTTCTGGGTTGTAGATGAGTGATTTGATTCATTCTGGTGGTGCATGTATGGGAATTTGGAAGCCACTTGAGTTCAGGAAAAGCAAGCAATCCGGAGGGTCTGCAGTCTTTGGAGGATTGCTTGCTACTTTACTAGCAATTACTGTTCAGTAATTTGATGGACTGTGGACTGCTGCTCTGTAGCCTTAGCTCTGGCAGCCTGATACGAAGTGAGGTGTCAGGTATTTATGGCTGAAGAGATGTATGAGGAAACCCATCCAAGTTAGGCTACCTGTCTTTTATTAGAGCCAAAGATGGTAGGACCAAAGACAATCAAGTTAGGACAATGTGCTGGTATATAGTTACCAAAAGGAAAAAGTTTTAGTAGTAATAGCTTTGAGGATTCTTTGTAAAGGATCGATGGAGAATTTCTGCGTCACTTGTGAAAGCCTCATTGAAAAGGATGGTATTGCCCACTGAAACATTGTAGGCAATAAACAGCCAGCCTGATTTACTGACTTACAAGTACATCTTTGCTTTAGTCAGCTGATGCAAAGCATTCCCTCGCTATGCAGGTGCTGTGCAAACCACTCTTCAAATGGACAAATGGGAAGAGAAGCATGAATGGTTTGAAGCCTGGTTGCTGTGACATGTAAAGAAAGGCTGCTAGACTTGGTTGCTGTTTACAGTGCGAGCATGTAAGATGCTGTAAATGGCAAAGGAATATGGGTAAGATGTAATGGATTTTAAGTGCGGCAAAACAGGCTGTTAAAAAGCTTTCTAAAAGTAAGGGTAATTAAGCATTAGAACAGACTGCATAGGGTTGCTATAGAATATTGATTGAACACAATTTACACAAGGCCTCAAAACTCACGACTAATCCTATGCTGAAGCAAGAGGAAGGCTAGTTAAGCTGGTGAGTCCCTGCTTTTCATGATTCGATGCAACAGCTTTTTTTACATGACTATAGGTCAGACTTACATATATTCACATTGTGTTATGATCATTGATATTTGAAAATGCTAATGGAAAATGCTTTCTCACATAGGTTGTTTTCAAAGCCTAGCAAAACTGGTACATGCAAAAATTAGTAGTCTCCGTAAAAGAGATAACTCTGGTCTTAAAACATGGCTGCAAATACGTACAGGATAATCACTAGTCTCAGCGGTGGCACAGAGCAGTTCTAGTTTCAAAAAGGCTACTTTTGCATGGGAGCAAATCAGTCTTTAATGGACCAAATTTAACTCTTATCTTTATATGCCCATTATTCTAGTCTTTGGCCTATTGTAGCCTACAGTAAACAAGTAAACAAGTTTGACTGAATTGAAAAGAAAGCATACCTGGATATCTTCATCGGTTGATACATTAAGCTTGTCTCTTGGTTGTGGAATGGGAGCAAGTATGCTTTTGAAACTGCAATACCTTTGGGTAGAAAATGGGATTGTGAAGAAATTAAAAATACTGGTTACATAACTTCCGCAAACATTTTTGTGTTGTACCTTAAGGACATTTTTTACTTTCAAGATTGAATAGCTGTTTCTCTACAAATCACTAAGTGATAAGGAAAATATTTTGAGTGTAGACTGATGGGTAACTGGCTTATCACTTGGGTAACTAATTTATTTTGTGGTGAGAGTCACAGTAAATTATGAAACAATGCCATAACTTTCTTCCACCACTAAGTGAGAAGTTTTGTCAAAATAATGACACATTCACTTGTCCTCATTCCCTCTTGTCTGGTGTTGTATGAAGCCAATGGCTTCAAAGCAACGTGGATGTTAAATGCTTAAAAGTAAGAACAGCAACGTTCTTGCAGGATCTAGTGGAATCAATCCCTTTTTAACTTTAGCATCCTTTCCCCCTTTTTCACCTGTAGTAGTTTTGCATGTTGACATGGCATCCTCAACAGAACTGGTAATAATACTTTATGACATTAATAATCAAATTTTTTAAGTTTGTAGGTAGGAAGGTAGGAGACAGGAGCAATGTGTTTCATAGAATCGTAGAATGTTTTGGGTTGGAAGGGACCCCTAGAGGTCATCTAGTCCAACCCCCCTGCAGGAGCAGGGACACTGCTAACTAGATCAGGTTGCTCAGAGCCCCATCCAACCTGGCCTTGAATGCTTCCAGGGATGGGGCCTCCACTACCTCTCTGGGCAACCTGTTCCAGTGTTTCACCACCCTCATTGTAAAGAATTTCTTCCTTATATCCAGTCTAAACCTACCCTGGTTTAGTTTAAAACCATTACCCCTTGTCTTGTCACAGCTGGCCCTACTAAAATTTCCCCATCTTTCCTATAGGCCCCCTTTAGATACTGAAAGGCCACAATCAGCTCTGCCCACAGCCTTCTCTTCTCCAGGCTGAACAAGCCCAACTCTCTCAGCCTGTCCTCATAGGAGAGGTGCTCCAGCCCTCGGATCATTTTTGTGGCCTCCTCTAGCCCCGCTCCAACAGTTCCATGTCCTTCTTGTGCTGAGGGCTCCAGAGCTGGACGCAGTACTCTAGGCGAGGCCTCACCAGAGCAGAGTAGAGGGGCAGAATCACTTCCCTCGACCTGCTGGCCACGCTTTTCCCAACGCAGCCCAGAGTATGGTTGGCCTTCTGGGCTGCCAGCGCATATATTCATAGAATATGCATTCTATATTCATAAAAATAATACTATGTCAATAGTTTCATCAATAAGGTTGATTTACCTTTTGAAAAGACAATATTGGAGCAGCGTCACTGAGATTGTTCCAAGTGCTATCAGAAATAAAATCGCGAAAATAAAGTAATCTTTCCCTTGACCTGAAAAATCCGAGAGAGAGAGAGAGAAATATCTTAGCATGCCAAAAAGCTGCCTTTGTGACCATCAGTAATGAATGCAAATTTCACCCAATTTGTTGAATAATCTGAAGGACTTCAACTTGACTTCTTACAGAACCTTGTCCAAAAGTTCAGGTATGCTTGATGCATTTAAAACCATTTTGAACATTTAGAATGTAGAGAATTAAAAAAAAAAAAAAAGAAAAAAGAAAAATAGAAAAGGAGAAACAGTGTCACAGAATGAAAAAAAGAGCAAAAGCACTGGAACTGTAAAAAGAACGTTGACAAAAGGGTGAAAGGGAAGATGCGGAAGGAAGAGGATGATGTTCATGGCAAGAACTGACAGGCAGCCTCAGCACTCCAGACTGAAGACAAGACAGGGTCTGTCTCAGCCTGTTCCTGTAGCCCTGGCACCTGAGAATCTGCTGCCTTCACAATCCCAACTAACCAAAGGCTGGTATCAGCCTCCGTTGCCATAGTACTTAAGCATCTCTTCCACTTCCATAATTACCACCCAGTTCCTCATCTGTCATTGGGTAAGAATTAGGATTTTATTTGTATCTGTGAGGGAGAAAGGGAGGCAAACATGGTAATACTGGAAAAAAAAAAATCTATGTTAAAATAATATTTCACAGCCTTACCAAATTCGATGGGTTCACTCCATTCCCCCCAGATTGAGCTTAAGAGACAGCTTTTTCCACGTGCTCTGATTTTCAGAATGTATTTTTTTTTCTTATTATAATTTTGGAATTCATATGTGTTGTTTCTTACCTAAAATCAAAGCAATCAGACTGTGCATTTTACCCCATAGGCAAATATTAATAAAATTTGGCATTCAGTTTCCTGATAGAGTTTCTATAAAAAACTAATTTGTATGATTTTGTAAGTATGTAGTAGTTAAATGTTCTCCCCAAATATAAAATCTTGATGAATTAGTTCATCCTGCCACTGAATCTTTCTGGTTTTTGAAGTTTAAAGTTGGATTTTGAAGTTCCTTGGGTCTTTAATTTATTTTACTTTAAGGACACTTTTTTTTCCATGTTCTTGTTTATGGATCCTAAAAGAACCAGGACAGAAAGCTGAAACTGGAGAAGCACCCCATATATTTACCTTGCAACCTTTACGGGGATTAATCATGCAATTACTCCCTGGATGGTGTCTGTCTTTGCTAAACAGACTTAATGTTTTTGAGACAATCCAATAACAGATATGTATCCTCTGGCCTCATGATACTTTATACAAAGTCTGGAATCTGCCAAGCCTAAGATGCTTCCAGGGCTGAAAGGACCACTTACTTGTCAGGGGAACACTGACAGTGTGTGTCGGAATCCCAGTTCACTTCAACAGGTTTTGAAGACCTTGGAGTTCCCTCTGCCTAGCTGTCCTGAACTACAGTGGTGTTTCTCCACCAACAGATACAAGAAAGAGAATGTTTCCAATTTGTATTAAGCAAAATGTCGCATCTGTCTTAATCAAAATCTCTTTGTGTGATAAAGGGAAATATGAAGTTTTGTGAAATTCATGAGAATTTTGCCTAGTGTAAGCTACCCCATCCAAAAGGGATGTATTAAGAAGTTTCCACATAAAAATACCACAGGAACACATCTTCCTGAATTCTTATTGCTCTATTGATACAAAAACTATAATTCTAGCAGTAACTATATTCTATATAATGGTATTTTTATGCTTAAGTGGGCAAAAGCACAAATTTTTGTAGGACAAGAATACTTACTCCTACACGATGATCCTTTTTCTCTTCTTTGGGCTTATCCTGCAAACCAACGACAAACACTCATTTTTATTATTTTCTTGTCAATCAAATAGTTCTCCTTTCGTTCTCATTTTCTTGCTTATAAAGATCATAAGCAATTTTAAACTGAAAAATCAATTAGATATTCTGCTCCAATAGTGACCCAGACTATAGCACTCTATTCAGAGTTTTGGCTTCTCCTATTTCATTTTAGAGAAGGAAGGAAATGTGAAGTATTCATCAGTCGTTCGTGGGAAGCTGTATTTGCCTCTGAGGGCATTCTCATCCAGCAGAAGTATATTCAAATTACGGAAGCAATCAAATCATCCTCCAAATGCAGCAGATCTGGAAGCTGTGATTTCTCAATAGTTTGAGGACATGGGGCATAAAATGGATGTGAGCAGCAAATTTACCCTCATTCCAGTCAAAGTTTCTGTTAGACATCTGAAAGCCCAGGGGCTTTCCCCAAAGCACTGTGAAGAGCTACTTACACATCCCATACAATCAAAATTTAATTGACTAGAATCAAACATTGACCTGGATCAAAGAACCTGGAAAATTTGAAGACAGGATAGGTTCAAAAATGAGTGAACAAAATCAACAGCAGTGATTTTAGCAAGGATCCCAGAAAACATTGAAAAGCCAAGGTCCTGGAAACACCTATTACATGTAATATCAGAAGGATAGCTGGCATTATGGAAGAGTCAGAAATATGTTATTGGAAGGAATGTCTCATTTCAGAAAATACACCTGCTGTGTTTGTTGCATGATACATATTTCCCCATTACTCATGGTCAGCTGAGCTCTTTCAGTTTAGGACATGATGGAAGTCATCAGCCTTTGCTGTGAACAGGGAGGTTGCAACTGAGTTCCCTAAACTTAGATGTATAGGGCTGTTTTAGCTGCTACAGGGTATCCTGCCTTGTCTCTGATGGCCCTGCCCAAAAGCTGTGAGTTGTACCTGCTGTCTCCATGTTGGGTACCTCTGGTACCTCCAGCACCTATAGCACCTTAAGGGGCATGAGGCACCTACTGCTCAGCTGCACAGAGCCCTAGACGTGCATTGGCAGTTACGGGATATCTGTGCTCCTTTGCAGATGCCTACATCAAGGTGTCTCAGTCACACTCATGGGTAGGAATCTACTGAACCCCACCCGTTCTGGCTGCAGGACGGGAAAGAGGAGGTAAAGGTAGATACCATTAATGCATGCAAGATAAAAAAATCCAGACAATCCAAAGAGCATGCAAGCTGCAGGCCTTGTTTTGAATGATTATTGAGTTTTAATGATGTATTGCTTTACCGCATTTGTATATTTATGTTTAACCCTTGGCTGATCTTTCCTCTAACAGTCTTGTGTTACAAATGCCTGAGGAATTGCCACTACGGTAAGCTTATGAGCTGTAGCTGGGAAATGGGGTGGGTAGGGAGTCCTAATTGGTCGTGGTGCAGATGTTATCCATGTGTGGAAATCACGTAATGGAGAAACAGGTATCCCAGGGATGGGGAGGAAGAGTGCTGTTTCTTGACTCCTCGTCAGATTCATGGGCTCAAAGAATTTTCCTGCCCTTAGTGCTTAGGGGTGTTAAAATAAGGTCCTTTAGGCGCTGAGATTTGTAGAGGAGGATTTGATACCTCAGCCTCTCTGCTCTGTCATATGTGGTGGAAACCAGGCACACCTCCGCTGTGGTAAAATGACACGCTCAGTGTTGTCCTGTGCTTTTCCTGTGGTCACTATGATAAATTGGGAGTGCTCTGCCTATGATGCAGGAGAAATCCCAGCTCATTTTTGGTACATACAAGTTCACATCCAAGACAGATAGCCATCTTAGGTTCCTCTCTTATAGCCAGTGGAAAGGAAGAAGGACTTTAAGGGCATGATTTCTCTGTCATCTGCCTTGGAAGAGGTGGGTAACACCACATCTGACTGCAGAGAGAGTAGAGGGTAACCCACTGAAAAGCAAATGCATCCATGGCGGACGTTTACCCTGGGCCTGTGTGAACTTTCCCCTGAGTTGCTGATACCTAGTTTTTCAGAGGAGTGGTTTCTATTTCAGCACTGGTTTCAAAACAGAGGGACACTGTAGGCAGGCGGGGGTCAGATTGGCTCAGCCAGGCTCCAGGGGAAGGATGGCATCTGAGGGAAGGCTGCCGAAGGGCAGCAGAAGGTGGGATAGGTGGTGGAGGAGTGGCATGGAGGCTGAGGGGGGGAAAAACAGTCCCGCCTGTTGAAATTGAGGGGCAGCTGTGAGCTTTCTAGCATCTGAAAAATGCCATCAGGGTGGCTGAGGCTGAGGTGGCCTCAGGGAAGCAGGGCTGGAGGCTGTTGCCCAGGCAGCTCCCTTGCTGCAGATCACAGGCTGCCATCATGTGGTCATCTCCTGTGAGATATGCTCATGCAGGAGAGCATCTCGGGCGCCCTCCCAGTCTTTGGACAGAGAACCCTCATAGCATTTCCCTGCTCTGCTCTGCTTTTCTGCTTCACATCTCATGTTAGTTTGAAATAAGGTCATGGGCAGTGGGATATGAGACCAGAAGGGCTGGAGCAGGAGGACACCACAGCTTATGAGAGAGAAATTAATAAATAAAGGAAACAGAAGTTTGCACATTATAGATATGCATGTCCATAGGTATGGTGCCAAATACAAACCAATAAAATGTTTTTACCTTATCCTGTATGCTCAGTTCATACTCAAAACACTTTGCTTTTTTCATATGACTTGTATGGGGCTGTTGCCATGTAATTATGCAGCCTCCTGGATCTCTACTACAATTGACATTGATGTTTAATGGAGGAGTGAGTATTTCTGGAAAGAAATGAAATAATTAATGTAGACAGAGTCAGTAATCAGCTACAACTCATGTGTTTGTAGAAAATACATGTGAAGTTCAGGCAACTGGTGTACAGCTGTGTGCTATTGACGTTAACAAATGGCAAATGGCAAATGGCAAACAGGAGTAAAATACAGTAGGAAAACTTGGGAATATAGCACTTCAGTTGTTGGACACCTGAAGTAACTGAAGTTAATGTGAAAAAAGTTTGAAGACTTTTGTGCACCTCAGTAGTACAATTTTTCTTCTCCACCTAAACTTCACATTGACAATGCAAGTCTCTACAGGAAAAGAGATGGAGGTTTTTGTGCGTGTGGTAGTATGCAGTTGGAAGACCAAGTCATTGGAATTTGAGTGCCTACAATATAGTTGACTAGGTGTGACCTAAGTGTTTAACTGCTGTCGTCAGTGGAGACCTCATCAGTAGTGCCCATGATGTCTGCAAGGCTGTTTGGCATACCATGGAGCAGGCAGGCTTGGCTGAATAGCCCTGGGCCACACCTGCAAGCCTTGTGGATGCCTCAAGTGTCTGAGGGTGTCTCAAATGGCACTAAAGGCATGTTTTTAGGCAAGTGAATCATGTCCCAGATCTCTATCGGAGCTTAAACATCTAGCTCACGCACAGGTACCCACATATTTAACTCACGCAGTCTTAATTTACAAGTTGAACTCTCCCTCTGGTTTTAGGACGTGTAGCTCTTGTGGCTCTCAGAAAGGCATGGAATTAAGGGATGGCAAAATGAGCCCGTCAGAAAGGTGGCCTTGAAAATCTAACCATTGCATTTCATCACTTGGGTTCCATAAATATGTTCACACCAATTCTCTGAGCTGTTATTTCAGGATGCCTCTGCCTTTGCTTGTTTTAGTTAATTTTTGGAACTGTATTCTATCAGCTATCAGGAGCAAAGCCTGACCTGCAGTGCAGGATCCTGTGATGGCTACAGGCTTTGCTTTATTCTTCTTTTTGGAGAAAAATTCCCCACTTCCTTATTTTATGAAACAGTAATAAAAATAAAAATAAAATAAACAAAAATAAAAAATAAAAAAAAATGTTCACTTACCGATTTTATACAGTTCAATGTATGCATCATAGAACTGGATCTGGGAGTTTTTGCTAGAGCCGTTCACCAGGAAGCGAGCTTTGTCAGACTCTATCCTCACATTTTTGAATCTGCACCCCGTGTTTCTGCCATTTTCATCTTTCATGTAAAGCTCACATTCCATCTCATTGTCGCCTCTGTATACAGCAAGGTATTTTAGTTAAACGTACACAAATGAGAATTCAGACTTCCCTAGACTCAAGCAGACCTACTTACATCAAGTTCTGCCAGTAGAGAAAATATTGGGTATCTCCTGGAGCACCCCTGCCTGCTTGCCAGGTGCAGTTCATGAGGGATATGTTGTAAATCACACAGGAGAAGTTTTCAATGGCCGACCCATTGATGCCTGCAAACACAGGAATGACTGTGATGAGGAAAAATTGTGTGACTGCTCCAAGCTGGAGGATCTTGGCATGCACTTAGAAACATCAGACACCTGCAACTCCAACTGGTTATTGCTTGGGTTAGGAATGACAACTGAGAGAAAGCTGGACCCTCACCCTATTTTGACTGCTTCTGAACTGTGAAACTGGGGAGTGAGTAGAGCATTCACACAGGTGAAGGAAGGCACACGGCTTTTTAACATGACCCTTGGTGCTACAGAAAGAAGTATTTCTCCTTTTGCAGTTACTGCCTAGGAACCCACTCCTGAAGTGTTTATACACAGCATTTAAAAAGCTGGGACTTTTAAAAGTAAGGTGGGCCTTTTTTCTGCCCTCTGATCAAATAGCCTTCTAGCTAGAGCTCTCCACCCTGATGTGGATGACAGCGACTCGATCGCTTCCTTTTTTGGAGCACACTGAAACGGGAACCTCGTTTCTTTGGAAGCTCCCTCCCTCATGGCTGGGCTGTGCAAGCATGCTCAGCCTCTTTCTTTCTTCTCCTTCAGCCAATATTCTGCTGCTTTCTGCGGCATGCCTCAACTTCAGTGAAAGGGTGGAAGCTTCCTCTCCTTCTGCCTCCAGCACCCAGTATTGAGGGCACCCTTGTGGAAGCAGCAGGGGGATTCCCCTGGGGATCCTGCATGCTTGGAGGCTAGGGCCAGCTGTGGAGGAACACCAAAAGCAAGAGGTTTTAGGAGGCAGTGTGTCCTAGCTTGTATTTTGAGGGTCACCATGAGAGTGTTTCCCCTGTTGAGTCCCCAGGAAGAGGTGAGGAGGCCGCACTTTCTCTCTGCAGCTATGAGCAAGCTGCTAATGTCATCACCTCTGTCAGGTCTGAAATACCCCAGCTACGCACAGCTGCAGGAGCAGTGGTGACGGGGCACTTTTAGTGGAGAACTTGGTTCAGAAGGAAGGAGGAAAAGGGCCGTAAAAAATTCACGTTTGGAATGATGAACCTGGGATCTGCCTAAATCCCAGTGATTTACTCCCACACGGGGCAGGCTCAGAATATCTTTGTAAACAGTTGCCTCAGCTCAATGGGTGCACAGCAACCAAGGCAACACACACGTGCGTGGGTGTCTGTGTGCACGTGCACACCAGGGCCAAATTAGGAGATTGCTACGTTCAGTTCACCCCTAGCTGTCTGTCACTGGCATTTCCTTTCCTTTCCTCCTCCCATTTTATGGGTTTCACTGATCTCTGGACTGTGCCTTTAGCTAGCTCTGTGGTCTTGCTCCTGATGAACTTGCCTACAGCCCAGCAGAAAAGCATTTAATAAAAAAATAGGTGCTAACTTCTTAATTTCTAACAGCCAGAACAGTTATTTGAATCCACCCTTAACCTACTGTAATTTAGTGGCCCTTTGGAGCCCTGGTATGAAAGAGAATAATGCAATTACTGATACGTTTGTAGCAATGCATCTCTTGCAGAATTGTGGAAACATTCATTACAGGGCAAATAATTTTAGCAGATCTGCAAAAAATAATTTTTAATAGAAAATAAAGCAGTTATGTACTGTGTAAGGAATTGTTTTCCAAGGCAGTGTTTACCTTCAGAACACTGAAAATGGAGAAAACCTTACCCAGACCATAGACATTACCTCCGGGGGTAAAAGAGCAGTTCTTTGAGATGTTTGTGTTTGGCACTTCAATGAAAAATAATAACCCTTCATGCACAGGCATGTCTTGTTGCACTGAAAACCTGCATAGTGGACTATTCACCTGAAAAAGAACATGTTGGTATTTTATTTCTCTGTTTTTCCTCTGATGGTGTTAGATGACGCTAACTATTGAAGTGCAACTCAGAAACTCAATTTGTTGGGCCAAAATCTTGAGTGTAAATGTGTGTGTTTTGGGTTCAAGAACTAACTCTCTCCTTTACCACTTGAGGGTGATGTAGAATGGAGCTGAGTGATCTAAAGTGTAACTACACAAAAAGCTTTGCAGCTCAGGAGTTGGACGCTACACTAGTGTGCGGCTATTAGAGAAGGCTAATGGGACCCCAGAGGCATAACAGAAGATGGTTAATAAATGGGGGGCCCACAATGGAATTTAATCAAAGGATTAAGCAAAATAGAAGTCCTTGTCTGACCTCACCAGGGGACAGAAGGGTGTCTATGGCATTATACTCACAATCTTCTATAAAGATGTGATGAGTTTTTGTAATGTGTATTTCTAATTAAGGCACCTGCTTAGCTAGACTAAATAAGCCATCCCTATCTCTCTTTCTGTCAAGTTTCCCACTTTTCTCTTTGGATATTGTGGGCTTATAACAAAACCTGTGCTACAGGCACGATCCAATTTACTGGGAAACAAGTGAAGAACTTGAGATAATGAAAACCCATGGCAGTGTTTGGGGAATTCACTTTTTATTTGAAGGGTCTCTTGCTCTGTTTCTCTAAATTCTCTTAGTCTCACATCCCCTTTTTTCAGCAGCTAGATTCCTATTCATGATTCAATGTAGGTACAGTTCAGGCTATCACCTCCTTTCCACTTTGTTGCCAGAACTTCAGCTCTGTGGTATGCATGGGATGCTCCTCCTGCAGCAGATGTGCCCTGGCATTGGTGGCAGCTTTCCACAGCCCCTGACAGATCAGGCTGTAGACTGCAAACACTGATCAGATTTTACCTGCAACTGATTCATTTTTTCAAAGTAAGTGAAATTGATAAAAAGTAAAGAAAAAAGTGCAATTATTTATCCCAACGAATAGCAAGTTCACCTTATCCAGTAGATATTCTACGTCCCCGTTCGTGATGGTACATTTATAGTTAGAGAAATTATTGCTGCTCTCCCAGGACAATTCCATTTTTCTCCAGTTCATGTTCACATTTGTAATAGGTGATTCTTGTGCTGAAAGTGTTACAGAAGCAGTTCACTAAGGATATGCTTTTGCTTTTATTGAATGCAGAGGATAGCATCTGTCAGGCTTAAGATGACAATTGCCATATTAATTGCAAATATCTCTGATAAATGAAGAATTAAACCCTGTTTCCTAGGTTATATCTGCAAAAACATACTTACACCCCGTACAGCAGATGTCAGCATCTGAGGGATGAAATAGCATCATACACCACCAAACCATGCAAATGAGTCCAAGAGTATCAAACATCTTTTCTTCACTGGAAAGAGACAATGAAGCCTTCAGGAAAAAGGAAAAAAAAAAGTGATTCCCAAGTGTACTTTGGTTTCTGCAAAGCTTCATTATTTTCATGGGAAGAATCAAAGATGCTGTCTAATCTACCCCTAGAAAATATCCTTTAGAAAAGCCCAGCAGAGGGCGTGCTTCAGGACGTCTGGCAGGCACCTCTTCTTTGAAAGGACTGAGTAGGCTCATTATTGTCTATTACAGCACAGCAGTTGGAGACAGAGAGGCCACAGATGCTCGTTACGATATGTACACTCACTGTATTCAGCACAGAGACCATGACTTCAGATTAGAGTTGGCCCACATATCCATACCATTGAAAAGTCAGGTTTCCTTGCTTTCTGATCCTGTGAACATCACTGCAGATTTTCCTATGCAGTGCTCCAGCTCCTGCTGCAAAGTGAGCATTTAGACTGGCTTTCAACCATTTGTTGAAGACACCCTTTGGGAAGTGGATGGTTTGGCTTTTGGTTGTGTCAGGGTGTGGATGACTCACTTCTCCGTAAGTGCTCTGTTAAAGCCAGCGTCACCACCAGGCATGTTCAGAGCCTGTACCTGCTCCCGCCAGCATGTCTCAGAAGTGCATGGAAAACGTCCCTGAGTTCTGAACTGTCTAAGCAAAGCAGGAAGAGAAAGGTCTTGATCTCCGTCAGGTTTTAACAGGAATTAAATGCTGACCTGCTTATGTTTTCTGACTATGGCAAATCTACAGTCTTGCTTGAAAGGCTTTTGGGGCTGATTTCAAGATTTCATGTATTAAGGCATTAATAGTCCTTAAAATAATATTTAGAGCAATGTCCTGAACCACTTCTCATTCTTTTCCTGGAGGCAAAGATCGAAGCTCACTGCAGACAGACCATTGGTTTTGTACGTGTTATCTATCAATTTCAGCACTAATTTCTGTCATTTTTCGTCTTTTCTTTTCTGACCACAGATCAGCTAAGAACAGCTTTTCATTCAGAAAAGCACCTTAGGAACTGGAATTCTGATAGGTCTTTCCAAAGGCCATTTGGCACTGGATAGCCCTGGATTCAGCTGCTTTTCCATTGTCCTGAATAGCCCAAATAGCAGCGTTTATCATAAACTTGATGACACTTCTGTCAGTTCCTGACTAACCTGAATGAATTGTTCATTTTTATGTCTCTCACTTCTCGCCTCTTTTCATGGAAAACTGAATATACTAAAGAATACCAGTTGTTAGGTGTAGTTTACTGTACCTCACTATTAAATAAGATACTTTTTAATGCTTTTTTTGTTATTACTAGTTTTGGATCCAGAAATTGTTGAATCTTACTGTGGACATTATTAAACTTTGAGGATGTCTACTCTGTAATCAAAACATGATGCTAGCTCACAGAATATGTCCATAATAATTTTACACTAATATAACTACAGTGATGCACAGTTGGACTTTGGCTATAAGGTTTATTTGAGAGGATAGGAAAAAATGCTGAACCTGCTTAGAGCTATTTTCCAGAATGTGACTCTCAAGTCATCATGTGCAATTCATTTGAACAAAGATTTACGTAATTACAAACAGTGTACGCCTTCGTTCTTGGTATTCTGGTCTTCTGCACCTACATCTTTCTTCCTGTAAATTGTCAACATTTTCTAGAACCTGCTTCTGTCTTTGTGTGTTTTTCAGCCCAGTTTCCTGAAATGAGATGGTATATGTTAATGATCCTTTTCAACGAGGAACGCTACAAAAGACGAGATATTTTTCAGTGTTTCTTTCCCCTCCTGACTTGCCTCCATTATACCTTCATAATGATACCTGCAGGTATCCTGTGTGGAATCACTTTTGATATTAAGCCACCTAGTATCTAGCCACGCAGTATACCCTGGTGCCATCCGGATATAAGGGCACAGAATCCACCTGGATTTCTGGAGTGATGGGGGTATCCCAACAGTTGTCTGTACTAAAGGCTGTTGTGAGCTTAGCAGGGCCAAGTGGCAAAAATACCCTACTGTTACCAGCCTGGAGGCCCTGTGTACCCTTGGCATAGACTACCTCAGGAAAGGGTACTTCAAGGACCCAAAAGCGTACAGATGGGCTTTCAGTGTCACCACCATGAATACAGAGAAGATTAAGCTGTTGTCTACCTTACATGGCTTCTTGGGTGATCCCTCCATTATGGGCTTGCTGCAGTTGAAGAATAGCATGTGCCAGTTGCTAACATGATGGTGCACCAGTGGCAATGTCACACCGGAGGAGACCCCCTGGTTCACATCTATGAGCTGATTCAGCAATCAACAAGACTCACTCACCCTTTCATAGAATCATAGAATATTTTGGGTTGGAAGGGACTCCTAGAGGTTATCTAGTCCAACCCCTGAATACCCCGACCCCTTTAATAGACCCATACGACCAGTGCAAAAGTGACGGAGGGTAGAGGTTAACAGTGGCCTATTATGGCCTGAATGAAGGCATGCCGCCACTGAGTGCTGCCATACCAGACATGTTGGAACTCTTTTTTCACAATTCCTTTGGCAGCAATGTGCAGGCCACAGTTTGCTTTCACACTGAAGGGTGTCCAGTACACCTGGAATCAACTGTCCCATGAGTGGAAGCATAGTCCTACCATTAATTTGTCATGGACTGGTCCAAACAGCACTGGAACAGAGTGATGCCCCTGAACACCTGTAATACACCAACAACATCACTGTGTGGGGCAACAAAGCAAAAGAAGTGTTTGAGAAAGGAAGAAGATTAATTCAGATCCTTCTGAAAGCTGGTTTTGCCACAAAAAAAAGCAAGGTCAAAGGACCTGCACAGGAGATCCAGTTCTTGGGAGTAAAATGGCAGGATGGACATTGTCACATCCCTAAGGATGTGATCAGTAAGGTAACAGCTATGTTCCTACCAGGTAACAAGAAGGAAACACAAGTTTACTAGGCCCTGCGGAATTCTGGAGAATGCATATTCCAGGTTATAGTCAGTTTGTGAGCCCTCTCTATCAAGTGACCCGAAAGAACTATTTTAAGTGAGGCTCCTAGCAACAACAAGGCTTTTTGCAGATCAAACAGGAGATAGCTTGTGCAGTAGCTGTTGGGACAGTCTGCACAGGACCAGCTGTGCAAAATGTGCTCTACACTGCACCTGGGGGGCATGGCATCACCTGGAGCCTCCGTTAGAAAACACAAGGTGAAACTCGAGGTTGACCTCTAGGGTTTTGGAGCTGGGGGTATCGAGGATCAGAAGCCTACTACACACTGACTAAAAAAGAGATAGTAGCAGCATATGAGGGGGGTTGAGCTGCTTCAGAAGTTGTTGGTACAGAAGCACAGCTCCTCTTGGCACCAAAATTGCCTGTACTACACTGGATGTTTAAAAGAAACATCCCCTCTACACATCACACAACCAATGCAGCGTGGAGTAAGTGGCTAGTGTTGATTACAGAACAGGCTCAAATGAAGAACCCCAACCACCCAGGAATCCTGGAAGAGATCATTGACTGGCCAGAAGGCAGATATTCTGGAGCATTTCCTGAGGAGGTGACTTATGCCCAAGAGGCACCAGCATGTAATAAGTTATCAGAAGATGAAAGGCATTATGCTCTGTTTACCGATGGATCCTATCGTGTTGTAGGAAACCATCGAAAGTGGAAATCTGCTGTGTGGTGTCCCACACAACAAGTCATTGAAGGAGAAGGTGAGTCAAGTCGCTTTGCAGAAATGAAAGCCATCCAACTGGCCCTAGAGATTGCTGAACAAGAAAAGTGGCCAGTATCCTATCTCTATACTGATTCATGCATGGTGGCAAATGTCCTGTGGGGTTGGCTACATCAGTGGAAGAAGACCAATTGGCAGTGCTGAGATAAACCCATCCGGGCTGCTGCATTGTGGCAAGACATTGCTGCCCAGGTAGAAAACATTGCTCTAAAGGTACGCTGTGTAGATGGTCATATGCCTAAGAACCATACCACTAAGAACATCAAAACAATGAACAGGTAGATAAGGCTGCCAAAACTGAAGTGGTTCAGGTGGATGTGGACTGGGAGCATAACAGCAAGCTATTTGTAGCTCGAAGAGCCCATGAAACATTGGGACATCTAGGGAGAGTTGCAACACACAGATGGGCTTGTGATCAAGGGGTGGACCTGACCATGGTGACCATCATGCAGGTCAACCATGAATGTGAAAATTTTGCCAAAATCAAGTGAGCCATGTGAGTAAAGTCTCCTTGGAATAGAAGGTGGTGTCTGGGTTTTGGATATAGCGAGGCCTGGCAAATTGACTATGTTGGGCCACTGTCACAAACCTGCCAAGGCAAGTGTTACATAATCACCATGGTGGAAGCAATGGCCAGGTGGCTAGAAAGATGCCTGTAAAGCATGACACCACCTGAAACACCATCTTGGGCCTTGAAAGGCAAGTTTTATGGCAACATGGTATCCCAGAAAGAATTGAGTCAGACAATGGGACTCATCTCCAAAATAACCTCGTAGACTCCTTGTCTGATAAACAGCATTGATTGGGTGTATCACACCCCCTATCACCCACAAGCCTCCAGAAAAATTTGGCAATATAATGGCCTGTTAAAAACTATGCTGAGAACATTGTGCACTGGGGCATGGAAGCACTGGGATTTAAATTTAGCAGAAACCACCAGAGGATCTGCTAACCATCCTGGTCCTGCCCAAACAAAGCTCCTGCATACTGTGGGAGGATGATAAGGTCCCCATAATGGACATAGGGAATTGCTGGGGAAGGTGGCGTGTGTTCTTCCTCCTCAGGAAAAGGTAAGCCCATTCATGAAATTGTCTTTTTTCAAGGACCTGGGTGTATTTGGTGGGTAATGCAGAAGGACAGGGAAATCCAGTGTGTATCTCAAGGAGATTTAACCTTGGGGAAACATAATCCATGATGTGAATTGTATGCTGTAGGAAGTACTGTAGCAGGAGCTACCTGAAACAACAAAGAGTGAACTTCAGAAGGAATTAATGAGTGCAGTGATGACCCAAACCAAGCTGGTGTTGGTGCCCAACAATTAA